ACGCGGGTTCGATTCCCGCTTCAGCGACTTTTCGGACCTATATTTTTCTCGCTTATTTCTCCATATGTAAGTTCCGAAATTAATTTATATGTGGAACTTTGGGATCTCAAATTGAGATACAGTTCCGTTTAATTAATTTTTCGTTTCGTTTCCTTGGCTCTATTGCCCAGCTTAGAAGACAGCATACTTATATTACTTAAATTAAAATTTCATTAAAGTAAACTCTACTTGAAATTAATTGCAGAATGTGGTTTTGTCAATATTTTATTTCCACAAGGCTTAGTTTGCGAAAAATCCTTTATTTTAAATCGCTTATAACTCGAAAATGATTGATACCTCAATATTTTTGCAAAGGAAAAATTGTCTCGAAATAACAAAATCTACTTGTATATTTTTGTGACACTTTCTATGTGAGACACCCTGTATATATAAATATATCTCAAACATTGTTTCCGAATCTGTTCGCTCGTTAGTTTCCGTATTGTTTCCGCATCGACGAAGCCGCCACTTTTGCAATTACGCGTAAAAATGCGTATTTGAGAGAAAGTAAATGGCATTACAAAATTATTCACGCATTATTTATTTATGATATATGAGTACGCTTTGTAGCATTATTCTCTTAAAGGGCATGCCGCAAAGTAATTAAATATCAAAGCACACACTTTGCGCAACGCGATGCTCGTATCCTTTGTACATGTACCAATTTTTGCGAGGGTGAAAGCGAGAAAGAGATTGCAAAGGGATAAAAGCTATATATATATAGCTATATATACATATATATATATATATAGTCATATATATATAGGGAATCGATTCTCTCGCGTCGAAAGAGTCCAAGAATGTTCTCCTTCGCTTCAAGAAAATTGTTCGACATTCGCGTATACATGACAAGTGCATAAAAGAGTTCAGGGTGAAAATATATCTTTGATCCGTCTTGGTTCCGCCCACAAGAAAACCTACCCTGTTCGCTGCGTAAATGCCCCATGCCATACGGCAATTTAGTATACAGTCATTACAATATGCAATCGATATCGAAGAGAGAGATAGATATAGAGAGGAGAGAGAGAGAGAGAGAGCTCGACACTCGAGGATCGATATCGAGAGGAGCTGGAGGAAAAATCTCAAAGGTGATGCTCCTTCATTTTACGATCACAATGCGCGGCGCCGCAAAAGCGTTTCCTGCTCCACGATCAATAAAACCATCCCCCATCCCCCTTACAGAACGCAAACGCAAAGTACACACGAGGACAGACACTGGCAGTGTGCACCCCGTGCACTGTGTGCGAGCCACGCATGTGTGCTACGAGAAAAGCCCACACGGGAAGGAGTTAATAAATTTTTGCGATTTTCTTAGAGCCGCTTATTATACGCGATTTTATTATACTCGCGCTCTTTGCGCGAAGATTTTAATAAACGAAACGTTAAGAAAGGGGAATCACTCTTGCGAGAAGAGAGAAAGAACAAAAGAGGGAATAAGGAGAGAATTTCCGGGAAAATTGTTTATATATATATCAATATCAAATTATATAGAAATATATAAAATTATACTTATACAATCGCAAAATTATATATGAAATATGTCCATACATAATTAGATAAAAGTGCTTTTTATATATATAATTATATTTAATTATAATTATAATAAATATTTCTTCATATATATATAAATATATCAGAAAGAAATATTTTTATCGGCTCTCAATATTAAGAATATAAATATGATGTTTTTTAAATCGGCCAACAGAGCCAAAGCACGAAAAATTAATTATTCGGAACTGTATCTCTTGGTTTGAGATCACTATAAGTTCCATATATAAATTAATCTCGAAACTTACATATGGAGAAATAGGCGCGAAAAATATAGGTCCGAAAAGTCGCTGAATATAAATATATGTTTCATATATAATTTGACATAATTATATATGAACCCTTATAATTTATATATAAATTTATATAATTATGTATAAAAATAGACACATTTCACATATAATTTTACGATTATATGTATAATTATATATAATTATTTATATATAATTATATATAAAAATTGTTTTATCGGGAAAAAGAACAAAAGAGGGAATAAAGAGATAATTGTATTTTAGTATTCTGCGCGGAATCTACCCTTCGCAAAGTACGACCAAACAATAATCTGGCGAGATACCATAAATATATACGATAATATAGAAAGTTGAGAGGGAAAGGTAAACAGTAGAAAATTGATTTATGCATAAATAATAAATAAAATATCGAATAGTAATTGTAAAAAAATTAATTTTGCAGAAACAAAGTATATTATACTATCTCTCCTCATTTGACCCTAAAAGGATACGAGAACACGTTGGATTATAATTAAGCGACACTTTTCTCGGACTAATCCCAAAGGAGATTCCCTCTTTCCCAAGTTTCTGCTCCGCCTATAAAAACCTTTCGTGACTAACACTCCTTAACAGAGCTTTATAATTACTTACATTGTGTGTTCATCCGTGTAATCCGCCATGTAGATTTAATTTTCGACGGAGAAAAAAGCGTCGAATATTATATATACATATATATATATATATATATATACATATAAAGTCGCTTCTTCTCGGAAAAATTCCGTAATACTTTCGACCATGTTGCATATATGTTTCCGAATTCGTTTCTCGTTCGACGAATATCGAATTTATTGTTTCATTGTTACGTGACTCGCGACACGTGCGCATATATATACTGCAATTTCCCGAAATTATTACCGCCCATTTGGTGGTGGTTTCGTTATATTTTGAGTCCTGGCGTGCCGCCAAGTTGAAAGGCTCGAGCTCGCGGCTTTCATTACAAGCTGCGAAACGCGTGATTCGCGGATCTTTGCGTGATCGTTTGACACGCGCGAGGGAAATTGCTCGGCGCGAAAATTGACAAACCCGAACAATAACACGCGATGCAACGCCGCCCCCGAAGAGGTGTAACGACCGAGAACAAACAATGTAAATGACTCGAAAGAAACCACTGTTATCGTACGATATATTTATAGTAAACACGATGATTCACGCGCGTGACCTTTCCCTCCCGAAAATGGATCGCATTTTCCGCGGATGCGACAAGCAATGCAGCTCTTGCACCGGACGTTGCTGCAAGCACGCGAGAATATATATATATATATATATATATATATATATATATGTATATATATATATATACAGGATGTCTGACATAATGTGTCACACCGAAAATTTGGAAACGATTTTTCCTCAGCAAAAATGTTGAGGGAGGCCATCATTTTTTGCCATCGTATGTACATATCTTTGTAATTAAATCTTAAATTAAAATTTTATTAAAGTAAACTCTACTTGAAATTAATTGGAGAATATGGTTTTGTTGAAAAACCCTTCATTTTCAATCGCTTATAACTCGGAAATTATTGATGCCTCAATATTTTTGCTGAGGAAAAAGTGTCACTAATAAATAACAAGATCTACTTGTATATTTTCCGTGTGACACTATATAAGATACTCTGTGTATATACATATATATATATATATATGTGTGTGTGTGTATCTCGTGTTGGGGGTGACTGTAAGGGTAACTTTCGTAGATGTATAGCCGCGGCTAAGTCGGAACTTTCGTTCGATGTGTCCTTATAGAAGACGATAACAGCCTATTATTCTGCAGTCATCGACCGATGTCCCTGTGTGTTTACGTTTCCACAAAGAAAGCGTTGAAGCGTTCGCGCCCATTGAAAAATCGACGGAGCTTTTAAAACCCCCGGAGTTCGGCTTATTTTTCTTGGCCATAAAAACAGGCTGTCTGTGCCAATGAAGGATGAGATATCTCTCTCTCTCTCTCTCTCTAATCTATAAGTACACTTTTATTTTCTACGTGAACATCATATATGAAAAACGCCACCCCAATGTCTCCTTTAATATCGATGCAAAAATAAATGCTATATTTAAGACTTGGTTTAAAGCGTCAATCATCCGACACTTTGATCGTCTTCTAAACCGATTCGAAACGACTTATCATATATATATATATATATATATATATATATATAATGATATATATATAAAGTTGTCGGTCGTTTGATTGTGTTTTCCCTTCTGGCCGCACAGGGTAACCTGTTGCCAGACACGAACATCGTCGTGTAGTAATAAACGAGAAACGGGGGCTATATAGCTCTTCGTTCGATCGATGATAAACTGGTGTAAACTACTGGAAACGCGAGTGTTAAGTGACAATTAGGTGGACGGATAATTCTCCGATTTCCCGAGGCGGCTCTCGGGAAAATGCAAAATGCACATATATCTCGTTCGAGAAGCATCCGTATCGTGTATATGCATATGCGTTTGACGCATATTTCTATAAATACCCCGAAATGCGGAGGAGAAAGAGGGAAAAAAAGGCAACACGACGGTGGCAAAAGAAATTGCGTATCGCGTACCTTGGGGGCTGCACTGGCGGAGCTAGGATACTGAAACACCTCTATATCCCCGCTATATGCACCGCGCATGCAGCTGTCTATAATGTGCATTTCTCGGAATAGAATTTTGCTAGACAAAGCTGCTCTTACTGGACATGCACGTTTTGTATATTTGGGAAACAAGATCGTTTTATAACAAAGCCTCAACAGGACGCGACACTCGCGCGTCTCTTGCATAAATATATAGAATTTGGAATCATGTATATAAATACATATACATGTATATATATATGTGCGTCAAAAAATTATTTATTAATTTTCATTAACATTGATTTAAAAAACGAGACATACTTTCACACGTAAACAAAAGACTCTGTCTATTGATAAAAAAATTAAAAGATTTTACTCCGATGTATTTTTGCGTCGCATCCTGCGAATAATCCGGATTTTCCGAGTTTTTTTTTTTACGAGACTCCTTCGAGACGTTGTTATATGGATCGATAATCGAAATGTGTCATCATCGCGGAATCGAGACGCGATTCGCGACTGGCGAGCGAAATTGGACGCGCAGTAATTAAAGTATCGAGCAAGGAATCGTTACCTGACTCTGAAGCTTTACACTTCTTCCTTGAGGAAAAATAAGCGAGTCTCCGAGGCGCCGATGACGTCTCACGCCATAAATTTCCCTTCCCGGCGGCGAAGCGTGTCTCTCCCCGTGAAATTAGAAAATTGCCGCTCTCCTCCTCCCTTATATCTCGCCGACCACCCTTGCCGTTCCTCTTCTCTCTTCCCTCTTTGCGAAATCGTTACATTTTCCACTGAGGATCTCTCGCTCTCTCGAATCGACGACGACGGATTCGCCGTATTGTATTATGTACGTCTCCTCTTCCCTCGGATGTTTTTCCTTCCTCGGGGGGTGAAACTCGCGCGCGCACGTTTCTACCGCGAAAGTTCGTGGACGAGTAAAAGCCTCTGTGTTACTAAATAAGAGCGTGTGAGCCAGGACACGCCTCTGCAAAGCATGGCGCAGACTCAGATTCCGCTCTCTGTACGGAAGGCCCGCAGGGCTTTTATACCCCGACGAGAACGCGATGCGCGCAAGTCATACGGCGCGAGACGAATTACATTAATTCTCAAAGTATGTCAACGCAATAAAATTAACATGCATTTATCAAAGTTGGTAAAGAAAAGTGAGAGGCGAAGAGAGAAGGAAGGAATGGTCGAGATAAAAAAACTTATATTTTTTTCAATTATGATTATTGAGCAAAATAAAATAATTATTAAGAGCACAAATGCGCTATTCGTAAATGATGTGTAATATAAAAGTAATTGACATAATCTAGCTAAAAAAATTCATTATATTTTAATTTCAATGGGAATCTAAAAGATGCTATACGCGGTAGAGGATAAAATATTGAAAAAAGAATAGATTCTTTCCTTTTCTCTTTTATAATACATGAGATATACTTTATAATCTATTATTCAATATAAAAAAGCATGGAGATGATTTTTTTCTTTGCATAATTTTTCCCGAGAATAATTACATATATATCATTTATTACTTCTGTACTTAGCATGTATATTTGAGGTATTCTCGTATAATAGATCTTTGTTTTAGCTTCAATAAATATAAAGTTGGAAGCAATATATTGGATATATACGTATCACAGATAAAGATTACATCAGTCAAGAAATGACAATAACGAAAAATAAATTTATCGCAAAATCGGGCACTAGTGCGCTTTTCAAGGCAGGAATAGCTAACGCGAGGCGTTATAGAAATAAGAAAATTGTCAGCTCAAGAGCCGCACATGTACGTAATTACATTTTTCTAAGTAGTAAGATTGATGTGTCGCTTAATTAACATCATAAGGCACTCTCTTTCTCATCATCGCCACGGCTTCCGAACAGTTCCGGCGCTGGTACTTCTTTTAATACCTTGATCTGTAATTTAAAAATATATTCTTTTTTTCGAATCAAAATTATAAAAATTAAATACAATCACAAGTATATGTAAACGAACTTACGCAACATATTTGGTGACATAAGTTTGTCTCTCATATCCGACGTCCAAGTTTGACACCTCGACCTAACAGTATTTTTTTTAATGACCAATGGTCTTTGATATTTTGTCATTCTAAACAAAATCGGAGATATATCTCAATAATATACAAATTGCACAAATGAAAGGAAAGAGAGCATGGAAGGAAATTATGTTCTTACGTGGATTCAAATTCCCTCAAATTTCTCCTGGCTAAAGTCTTTTGAGTGGCGAACGAATACGATCGAGACGAACTCGGACGTTCTGCTCGAGATTGCTTAATTTCGCGATCTTGCGCTATCACTTTCATTCTCTTCGTCGGAGACTGTGCAAATAAGTCCACTATATTCATAGATGCCGCATCACACTTAAAAAAAAAAAACATTGTAAGATTATCACACACTTTTGATTTTTGAAAAAAAGTAGAGGATTATATAATTTTCTGCATGAGCAATTACCTGCAATTGTAGGCGATGAAGAAAGTCTACTTCCGCTAAGTTTAAAGGAGCATCAACGTGCAACTTAAGCATACATTGCAATGCTTCTTTATATACCTTTTTTAAAGTAATAACACGTTCGGTTCGCATTAATCTACGTACTAAGTAACCTCGTGTATAAGCATTGATAGTATTCACTGCCTGTATCTACATACATAATAATATACACGTCATAAAATTACATGTCTGTATATTTAAATAAATATATATTAATTATAACAATTAAAATTATAATTGTACTCACATGTTTATTATGATATGCTGAAGTATCTAGTATTGGGACATGTGTGGTATTACTATCTAAAGGAAATAACTGTCGATTCACATTTAAATTCTTATATATGATACGATTATTTGGTTCACTGTCATCATCATCATTATCATCATCATCATCATCATTATTATTATTATTATATGTAGCATTACATACATTTACTTGGCTCATAAAATTAAAATCAGGTGTTGCGGGAGAAGTGTCCCTAATAAAAAGAGGAGGTTTATAATGTTTAAGTGAATATAAATTTTTCGAGGAAATGTAATCTAGTGGGCATACAATGACATTTGTATGCTTTGCTGGGGATGATTTACTATTATAACGTTCTTCCACATGTAAATTGCTAGGAGAGTTTATATTTGATTGCTGTCCTGTTTCGCTAATGATATTTTCTAGTATTTCTTTCTTGTTTATTGATGATTGATTTGATGTAACATTTGATGATGCATTTGTCCGATTCGATGCATTAAAAGAACACTTCTGCATTTCAGCTAATAAAAGCATCTGTTGTTTCTGGAATTCTGCTTGTAGCAAAGATTGTTCCTTTTGTTGACGATATATCAGCTCCATCATTTGTTTCTTATACATTTCTTCAATCTGTTTGTAGACTGTCAAAAGTTTTTCAGACGTAATAGATGATTTTCTTTTAACAATTTTTGGATGTTCTTTGGTATTCTTCATTTTATCATGATGCTTGTTTTCATCTATGCACGACAGTTGAGATTTAAGACTATTTGCATCTTCTATTGATTTTTCATTTGATAAATTTGATACACAGGTACTACTATCTAATTTTTCTAATTTTTCTAGAGAACTTCGCTTCGCAAGACTCGTGTCAGATATATCATTTTTGATTAGTGCAATATCAGTTTTACCTGTATGTTCTTCAGTAACTTCTGTTTTGGTAATAGATTGGTCTATTTGATATGGTTCTGTTGAAGCGTCAAATTCTGTATGTTGAAAAGTTGTTTCATCTGTTGCACATTCTAATTTGTTTGATGCTTGTTTGGTGCTTTCTATTATGAGTTGCTTATTTTCCCACTTGACCTCGGGCTGCACTATGTTCCATTGTTTTCGTTGGGATGTATTAATCGTAGGTGTGGGAACATAATTCTTATCACTTAATTCTGTATGCATATGAGCTAGTAATATAGGGCTGGGTGTATCCAATACATAAGAACCTTGACGGGATAATTTAGGCGGATTTTCTTTCTCCTTGGAAGCAGGAGAACCATTGTCCTCTTCGTTGCTTAATGTTATTGGAACTATATTCAGTGTTTTAGGTATTTTAGGTTTCCAATTTTCTGGAGACACATCTTCATTTGGTGTTGACATTTCTGTTGCGTTAATGTAGTCATTTTCATCAGTTTTTGCAGTTATAGCTTTTGTATTAATATTATCCATTGAACAAACTTGAAATTGCGAATGTTGCATATCTGACATAGTAGACTGAATATTATGTTCGTCTTTTGTTTCTTCAATAACTTGTGTCGTTGGCATTGGTTCAATGATGGTTGTTTTAGAATGCGTGTCACTATTGTTGGTGTCACTCATAGTATCACGATTGGATAAATCACTGTCTGAATCATATTTGATACTTTTTAATTTATCTATTGATTCTATAATATCAGCTTGCACACACTTATCTTTAATATTGTGTTTAAGTTGTCTACTTTTTAATTTTTCTTCTACCTTAACTGCCAAAGATTTATAATGTCTCATTTCTTCTTTAATGCTATCAGTTATCTGTAAATAGTTGATATTAATATAAAGCAATCCTGTTAACGAAAATATTGAAGCATATTAGTTTACGAATGTTTACCAATGGTGAAAGAAGAGGTATCCCATTTATTTTGATATAAGAACTATAAAATTTCAGCTGCTCCATATTTTACACGTCCAATTCTCAAAGAGTACCCTTTATGCCACAACTCTTCCAATTATTTTTACACACGATCGATCTAATTATCACTGAAATGTTTCACTTTTTTTACAGTTCTCCACTTTTCAAATTTACGTGAAGAATCTACGTTTTCTACTTATCATTCAAATATCCAAAGCGACTCGAACCCGAAGTGCAAGTGCAGGAGATTAAAACCACAAACTATGAGGTACATAGAATAGAAAGCTTCACAAAAGATTTATAAAATTTCCTAAAGCATTACAAACTCCCTAGGCTATTATTTGCATTTTCTACATACATTTTCAGATCTTTCACTCTTTGATATTTTTTAATCGAATGTCATGACATTTATAACTAATATATTGATTAGCGAAAAATTTAAATAAATTTATAAATGTACCTACACATTTTTTATCTGCGATGCATTCAATACTATTACTTGAGAGTAATTTATTATACTTAATTTATTTAAATCTTTTAATATAAATTTTATATATATATATATATATATATATAAAAATATATATATATATATATATATATAAAACATGAAATAATTATATGTTATTATACATTTTATTATACAGCATTTTTTGCACTATCTTATATTAGAAACTTAGCCATTTGAAGATAATATTCACTACAGAAGCAGTTATAAAATTCAGCATATAAAATATGAATATTCGAGTAAAATTGTATGCAAACAAGATTTTAAGTTTATACTTATATTAAGTATGCACAAGCAGTTTAGCACTCAATTAGTGCTGTTTCTTTAAAGCTAATGTCCAGTAGAAAGCCAATTCTTTTTATACATTTTTTGTACATTATTTAATTCTAATATTTTAAACATTAGATTTATTCACGTCGCAAATTCTCAAGTCGTGCTTGTAAATCCGCGTCAGCATCCCCGAGATTACCTCCTTCCTCATTGCCTGCAGCAGCAGCAACTGGCTGTTTAGAACCAGCTACACTTAGCGATCCAGAGGCTTGTGGTAATCCAGAGAGTTGATCTGTCAATTGTAGACCTAATTCATCCAATACTTGAGCGACTACAGCATCACTATGAAAATAAGATTAATAGATGTATTATTTTTTAATAATAAATATTACCTGTAATTTTAAATTTACAAACTGATAAATGTTCAATAATTATTTATTATGTGACAATTTATATATAGACATAAGAAATATTTATGTATATTAAAATCCTCGATACCTTTCTTCTTCATCTCCTTCATCTTCCATTGCATCATCTATTGCATCGTTCATAATTTCTTCCTTCATATCCATTATCTCTGACTGCTTTTCAAATTCTTGCAATATTTTCTGTATTTGTGGTAAATTTAATTGTCTATAAAAATAATAAAAAATACAAATCAAATTATAAATTATACTTTATAATTTTATGTTTAATAGATACAAATAAATTATATAATTGATATAAATAATACAATAAAAATATTTAACACATGTTGGTAAATTTCATTATACTCACTTATTCATGTTCTGCATTGCTTTAGTCACTCCTTTCATAGCTTGTGCCATTGTGTTCTGGGAACGTAAAGTTTGTATTTTTAGAGACACTGCTTGAATATTTGCCTTCATCAGCATGAACTTTTTTACGTAACGTCTTGTCCTAACTAAATCTTTGGCCATAATTTTCACAGCATCCTATAGTAGTTTAAAAAAATTAAAATATTAAATAGCTTTATAACAATTAAATTACCATTATACCAATAAAAGTTAAATTACCATTTGTCCATCCTTTGCAAGTTTCTTAATGTCAGCTATAATTTTCTTTTCTTGTTGTTCCATTCTTACTTTTTCTCTATCTAAATCTCGCATTGCCTTGTTCAATGCTCTTTGATTTTTTCTGAGCATTTCCTCAGGAGTAATACGCTTGCCAAATAGCCACTCCATGATTCTGAAATAATGAATTGTTCATTAAATCATTAATAAATTTATAATAAAAATGAGAATACACTATAAATGCAAATCATATATGTTAAACAAAATTAATAATAGAAGATATATACATGTAAAAATAAAATGTCTTGGAAAAGACATTTTATTTTATGTTATCAATCAATTCATATAATATAGCACATATATTCTAATTCTTAACAACTTTGAATAAAAATGTTGTCATGTTATTACAATTTTTACATCAGTTTATGATTGCTTTATAATCGCTTGCTTTCGCGATTTACAATATCTGACAATTTGGATTATTCTTATTATCTCTTATCATGGGATTGATAGGAAATTTGTTGAAGATGTACATTAATGACGAAGGTTAGGACAGATATAAATTTTTTATATTAGTTAGCTGAAGATTCTATAAAATATTAAATAAATGAAGATATTTAAAATTACATTCTTTGCAAGGAGTTTTTCGTTAAAAAATATTTCGATATTTTCTGCGCTTTAATATATTTCTATATTATTATAAATGATTTAATCCAGGATGCGTACATAAATGTCAAATACATAGAACAATATTATAAAATATGTATGATTTTACCAGATGTTTCGTTGACGTATAAATCTTCAAACAGAATATCGAGAAGGATATCAAATGATGTTTGACAATCACGAGTTAATTACTCTTCTTTTGACAGATTTTGCAAAATAACTATAAACATAATAATTGATCGAGCGGTTTCCATTTTATTTTCCGAAATGTCTGCTTGTTCATAGGTTACGATTGGGACTAGAGATCCCTAAAGTCTAGAGAATCTGGACGATTGGATTGACCAATCAGAGAAAAGCAGCTTGAATATGCTTGAAAATATAATAAAAAATATAAAAATTTATATTAAAAAATCATATTATATAATAAAAATTATATCATATTAAAAATTTATTAAATTATAATATTTTATATTAGTATATCTCCCTTTATTAGTTCTAATTTTATTTTAATTTCCAAAAACACAAGACCACTGTATTTTAGCAATGTATATTTATTTATTCCGTCTTCAATTTTTGTTTAAACAAAATTATACGAAATTATTATTCGTATATTGAATAGATACAAATATTAATTGTAATGTTTACATCCACATTTTCTCTTATATTATGCAAACAGAAAAACTTTTTGTTTATAAAGTTAACATATAATAAGATAAAATGAATTTAATATTTTTATTATTTTTCAAAAATCATTATTATATATATGTTTTTAAATAAGATTAATGAGAATTATATATTGTGAAAAATCCTGTAGAATGATGAAAGAATATTATGTATTTAACTCGGTTAGTAGAGATTATATTAAAAGATGTGATAATTTACAAAAATTTACTTTATCCATAATAATAAAAATTATCCATAACAAGAAAAATGTAAAAATGTATAGAGTATTGGAGCATCCAATGCTAATCTAAATATCAATATATGTAGTATTCAAATTTGATGTTCGTTAGTTGTGAATTTCATTCATTAATTTAATTAAAAGGATTCAATTTTTCCCCATTTTCTTTTTTTATACATGATATTACAGAATGGGAATTTAACAAAGAGAAAAAAAAACAGAGAAGGAAATTAAGGAGCAATTTCAAAATAGTAGAAAATCTCAGTTTCTACGATTCCTGAGAGGATTTTGCTATTGTATATTATAAAATATATAAACTATATATATTGCACAAAGACTATATTTATTAGACATTGTAAGTATATAAAACACATAACTTTTATCTTGTGAAAAAGTATACACACACACGTACACACATTTGTATTACATTACATTGTATAATATTACATATTATATGTATGTGTGTGTGCATATATATATATATGTATATATAGTGTTTGTGTGTACACACATATATATATATATATATGTATGTATGTACATACATACACACATATACAGAATTATGTATAATTTATTTATATAAATAAACCAATGCTTGAACATTTAGAAAAGAAATTAAGTGTCTTAAAAACGTTTTAATTATAATAGATAATTTTAGGCGCTTTTTTTCTTTACTTACAAATGTTTAATCCCATGTTTTGACTCGAAGTTCTGGTTCAAGAATGGACCAATTTGGTGAATGTTTCTCACTGGATAGCCAATTGAAATCATCTATACAATTCCAGTTGTTAATTTTTGGGTCGAGACCAGCTAAATTAAAGTGGCTCATCTGATCCTCGTAAGACCAGTTGTAAGGTGCTACTTTTATCTTTGTACAATCTTCTATAATTGCCCTACTTGTAACGTGCAAATAAATGGTACAATCTGTCGACGAATGTAATCTCAACTGTTGACATGCAATAGCGAATACACATTCACTACAATCATGTACAAATAAAGAGGATGTCACCGGTCCTACTAATATAGTGCATTGTTTTAGATTTACCATATGTAATGTACTAGGTGTACCATATATTCGCACAGTACACTGAATTAAATCGGAAAGTAGAATATCGTTTTTATTTACATTCTCAGCGTCTAATACCAATTGTTCGTTCACCTTGCCCAGAAGCATACAAGCATTATCTCCATACTTGCTTGAAAATTTATTGTTTTGCTTCATCGAACCGTTTATGATGCTTTCGGATATCTTGAGATCTTTAAAGCCATCCGTGATATCGTGTCCCTTGTCAGAAGGTTTTTTTACGATTCTACGATTTTTAAATCCAAACTTTTTCTTAGGTAAAAGCTTAATTTCTAATTCAGAAGCTTCGTTCTCCAACATTTGCAAATTTTCTTGTGCGCGTCTTATGTCATAAACTTTCAGAAATATTTTAGATTGCAATAAGTAGTTTTTAAGCAGTTGGATTTCTTTATTGGATTTCTCAAAAATTCCTAGTAAAGCCGAGGCTGGCATGCTAGGCGCATCATCCAACATATCTTTAATCTTTTTACAAGAAGAATAAAATGTGTCTTTAAAATAATTGCTTTGCTCGGATTCCACGACAAGCGATTGCCTTTCTTCTCTTCGTCTTTCAATAATATTTTTTCGTTCACGATCTCTCTTTGTAATGCGATCTGGCAAACTTCCTTCTATGAGCTCATTGGAATCCATTTTAACATATGAATGTTATTTTTCAATAACGTTTGTGCTACCTCGAGGATTATATTCTTTAGAACTAATGTTCAGTTTTCCTTGGCTCATAAATTCTTCAGAACTCTGTTTATATTTTTTGAATAAGCCGTGCTGCTGTGATGAATGCGGTGGAAGATGCTGAAATAATTTATTATAAAATTTATTAGAAGAAGAATCTAAATGGAATTTTTTCTATTAGAAATTTTAAATTTTCCTGGTTAAAATATACTGTAAGTATAGATGATGTAAATATAATGTAAATGAGAATTTTTAAACAGTACAACATTGATCTTTGAACATTAATACAATACTCAAAATATGCTATTCTTGATAAGCAAATTTGCTTTTACTTATAAAAACTATATAAAAATAAACTTTCTATCTTTATTTAGAGCTTTCTCAGTCAAAAAATCAGTTAATGACTAAATACAACAAACTTTTTTTTTATAATATCCAGTACAATTACTACAAATTAGTAATTTTGGAATAAAACTGAATAAAGAAAATATTTATATTTCAATAGTTTTTATTATCTGGGAATTATGCATTATCATAAAATTATTTCAGCAAACTTTTCAATGATGGAACAATAATAACCATCATTATCTATATAATTATAAAATCTCTTATGTTAAAAAAGTTATTTAATTTTATTTAAATGTTGAGTCCTCAGAAAACATTATTTATTTACATTTTTAATAGAGAAAGATCAAAATAAAAATCAAAATTTTTATAAAAATATATTTTATTATTACTACTTTATTGTATTATATCATACAAACATCAATGAAATTTTGTATTGGCCTGAAAACTCATAGTTGTTAAACTCTTAATTCATAGTTATAAAATTGTTACTGTAAAATATACAACATATATGTGTCTATATAAATTTCAAAAAATCTCAGAAATATTTTTATAATATATATTTATATAATTTATAAAAAGTATTATATATTTATAAGAAAATAATAAAAAAGAAATTTGTTAGTGATTGTTTTGAAAATTGTGCAATCACAGTAGTTATGATTATATAACTTTTTTAATTACCTTTATAATTTCTGACTCATTAGGTGAAGCAACTTGAAGCAGACCGTATCCTATGCCTCCACCAATAATTATCGATGCTACAAACTTCAGGAACGCCATGAAGGTTTAATGTTCATTGCATTCTTGTATCCAGGTTGTGTAATCAAATCTCCTCAATTGGTCGTTGCCAGATAATTTTTCTCCAATAAGGTAATAGCTCTCCAATATACTTGGAAAATGTTGATGCATATAATATCTAAAATCTATAGAGTTTAGGGAAATTAACATACTAATTTAATCATGTCAAGTTTAGATAAGAAATGAACTCTTTAGAACTAAGAAAATTATCCCTCACAGCACCATTTGATCACTACACTCAAGCAATTTCTCTTACATAGAAGAAATCTTATCATTCAATATACATATATATAAAAAGCATTACATATAATCAAAGTAATAATTATAGTAGTTCTTTTTAGCTATATCTCTGCTCACTATTTTCTCTTTTACACTCCTTTCGATATCTCGAGCATGCATTCACTTTAAATGCATAAAGTATAAAATAATGCAGAGAAAAGCAATTTAGGTTTATAATTATTTAAGAGAATACACGTACAATTGAACATACGAATCACGAAGCGAAGTAACCTAGAAATTGCAAATTTTGAGAAACAGAAAGAGCAATTCACCTTGCGAGGTATTCATACGACGCCAGAGTCCGTATGATCCAACCAAAAATACGCCCTCCAATATAAGAATCGCTTTGGCGCTGTTCTTGAACTTTTGCACGAGATTGAATTTTGGCCGTTTCGTGAGCATACTAGTCAGAAACGAAAAGATTTCCTAAAATGGAAATCATCAATACTGCAATGCAAGATACTGCAACAATGTGGGAAAAAGAGAAATATATATAGCCATCGACCAGATGACTACTAAAGACCATATTCAGTTCTAGAAGTCTAGAATATACCAAGAGCGAACCTTCGAAGATGGGCTTCTCTCTTCGTCAGGGATTCAGGGATTTTCTGATTGGTTGACACTTTGACACCGCTCGGAATCAGCGCAACTGAGAAAGGATCGGTGTGCATTAGCGCCCTCTCAGGAATTGCGGTCGAAGTAAGAACTACAAATGAAATGAAAGGAAGCCGCGCTGGAAGAGGTGATAAAATCATTAATTATAATATAACGAAACAATACAGTTATTCAAAAAGAAATATCATCACTTCAAGATATGCAGGCACGAAATATTGAAATAATTATAAATATTATATATACCGAGTGTTTATTTTATTGAACACAGCTGCATCCGCGGCTGCATATTATTTAACTTTGAATCGATTAATCGATTCTTTTGTATATAAATCGATTCCTAATATAATTTGAAACAAGCAGCTATTTTTCCGAAAAACTATGTGTTTTCTTTACATGAAATGATTTCTTTTATTTTGTACATAAAAAGTATTATGAGAAAGTAATCGAAAAATGAATATTTTACGAGATATTTTTATATAGCTTATGCATATATACAATTATATGTCAAATTAAAGGATAAAATATTTTCACAATTATATACTTAAATTCCATATACATTTTACTATTTTTATAAGTTTTTTATGCCGACTATTGTGAGGAATTATTATAAAATAATTTATATAAAAATTACAACGGTATATATTTTATTTAAAAAATTAGATTGATTTTTACATATAAAATCTTGAAAAATGATCTTTTTCAACACATTCAACCTTATCAACTTTTTTCCCTCTTTAATTTCTCTTTTGTTTTTTTGCAATTTTTTGTACGATCGATATATGTATGACGTGTTAATTAAAATCGAAATAGGATATGTATATATGTATTAAATAAATAGTTTTTTGTAATCCATTATTTTTTATTATTTATATTAAAAAATTTGCTACATTTAAAGAAGATAAACCGATAATTTAGAAATAATAAATATAATATTTAGGAAACTGTTGATTATTATATAATAATCACAATTGTTTATTAATAATTATATTTTTATATGTTATACAAAGGCTTCTAATAAAATAAATTATTTATTCTTTACAAAGATTAAATATATACGAAATATAATAATAGATTTACTAAACACATAGCTAAAATTATTTTCAACATTTTGTATAAATTTTTAATACAAAATGAGAAATATAAAATATAGAAAATATATTATAAATATAGTATGATTTTGCTAACTCTTTTCTATTTCATGTTTACACACTTGATAAATGCATGCTGAACGAAATATTTACATCCATTTTTCTCTCTAGAAATATTCAGTTTTATTAGTGTTATATAATTAGTACTTTACTATTGATAGACTATATATAGGACATATTATATAACTATATTCAATGTTTTCATCCAATTAACGAATACTAATTTTATGTTATATTACTCCATGTTAAAATTGTTGAAACAGTTGGAAACAATTTGAATTAAAAATTAACACCGATTAAAAATTAATTATAGGAATAATATATAAATAATTATATACATATTGCATATATATATATATATATATATATATATTTAATATATTATATTGCATGAAAAAAATATCTTTGGTTATCAATTTGTACTGGTATATATATTTGTTTGAATATTTGTTTATGAAAGAATTTCACAATGAAATTTTGATTATACATGCTCTGACTCTGAATTGCCGCTGCAATAATGCATGCAAATAATGCATGACACATCGCACGCGCGTGTTGCATCGCTGTTAAAGCGCAGAATCGTAGAAAGGAAGGCGTCAGTCGGCTGAACAGACGGTAGGATGGGATAGTCAGTCAACAGGGGAACACGAAACGATATTGCATTGCTAAATATAATACAGTGAGGTACGCGGTTCTCTCTCGACTGTCGTCTTCTAAGGATATAAGAGGCAGTATGACGACGATGGCAGTATAGTCACCAATTTGACATCGTTGTTCTCTTTGCTTTTGTCAATGATAATTATTCCTGCAAACATTATTGTTGTGTGTACTTCTTGCCAAGGTCGCGATTGTGAAAAGGGTCGTAAATCGGGTAGTAAATTTTTCACGTAGCCTCAAGCGTAATACGCATAAATAAAGTATTCAACAATGAGTGAGATACCTAAGTAATAAGATATATCTAATAATAAGTGTCTCTTTGGGTTTGGGGTTTACGATATTTTTTTCACGAAGCTTCTTCGTCAGAGCTCGGTCGAGCTCATCGATCTGTCACCGTCACGTCTATTGAGACATAGGTATGTCTATTGAAACAATACGAAAATTTTTCTTTAAAAAATATATATATATAGATGTATACAAATCTATATAAAACTTGCTCCGAAAAAATCCGAATATCTACTATGTGTTAACGTTAGAACGAGTTGTATGAACAAATTTGTTTTATTCTTATATTTTGAATTTCAGCTTTTAAAAATATAGATTTGAAAGATAAGATTGAAAAAATATCGGATTTTCCTAATTAATAATTAATTATTAGATGTATACTTTATTATTACATTATAATAAATAATAATTATTCAATTAATTGTAAGAAAATTTTAATAACAGTTTCTCTCTCTCTCAGTAGTTTTAATAAATAGTTTTAAACCTTTTAATTTTTTTAAATATAGTTAGTGTGTGCATTAACAGAAAATGTTAATGATTAAGAATATTGAGAAAATAAAATATACACACATATATATATATATATATATATGTATATTCAAAATTTTAGATTTTCCTTAAACGAGTTTAGATACTGTAATTATATGTTTCTAAACTTTATTTTTAAAAACATTATTTTTAAGGTCCAAAAAATCGTTTCTTTTTAAATTATCTATAGATTGTTACAATTTTAATTATTTTTTTTCGCAACGTTTATGAGTTTTGTTTTATTGACATTGTTATATTAGTTATTAATATACATATTAGTATACGATTGCAATATTATTGTGCAGTTTGCAGTTTCTTAAGTTATAAAAAGCACTGTTCAAGATTAGAATATGTTAAAAATATCCCTTTAAATAATAGATAATTACAAGCCATTTTAAGTCAAGACAAATAAAAACTTACTTTTTAAAAAAGAAAAAATAAAAAGATGCCAAGTTTACGCATTTACTCAAAATATTATACAAAAAATACTATATTGTATAATATATATTTTATTATTCAAAAAATTATTACAAAAATTAATTACTTTAATATATATTTAATCAGTTATATTTATTACTTCTTCTACAAAAATAATACTATATATAAAAAGTGCGTAATTAAAATGTACATATAAAAATTAAGCATAGAATTTAATTTTTCTATTATTATATTTCAATATTATATTAAAATTATTTTTTAGATAAATAAAAAGTGAATATAAATGTGTATATTATTTAAATATTTGTATATATATATATATATATATATATATATATATTGTATCAATATTTATAAACAGAGATATTTATAATAATATATTTTATAAAATATTAAACCAGTTGGTACTATCGGTGCAATCAACTAATCCCATTGATCAGTAATATTGGTTTCTTTTTTAATAAAATATCATTGTACGTGAAAAGTTGTTTTGCAATTAAAAGGACGAAAATGTTCATCTTAATCGTACATTTTTTGATTCCTTTGCATCGTAATAATTATAGGACATATAGAACAAAAATAAAAATATTTTTTTTATATAATTAAGTTACGAATTAATTTTATTATGAAGCCTATTAAGACTGAATTGGTTCGACTGTGTATTATTAAAGAATTCGAAATCTGAGGTATTTGCAACTGGCCGGCTTATATATTGCACAATTTACCTCATTATTGCACGTGACTTTTTTTGCTGCGTGTGATTTTGTGCGAAACACTATATACCGTATCTTGGTTTGTCGTTGACTTAAAATAGCTTGCTCACGTATTTCGATTTTCAGTGTAAATCACAGCTGTAAATATGTAAAATATATATAAGATGCTCATTATTGAACATTTTGCTAAATAAAGCTAGTTTGAAGAGACTTTAAATACTTAATTCGTAATATTTACAAAATATATTTTTGTCTGTTAAAAGCCTATATTAGTAGAAGGAACATTAAGATTATTAAAGTTTATTTATTAAGAATTGTATCTCATTATTATATGTAATAAAATTTATATGCTAATTAGTATGTATAATAATTAATATTATTATTGTACACTATTACAATTTTTTGCTATAATTTTTTATGTTATTCTATAATTGATATTTTACATATGTATATACACATATAAAATAATGTATTTTCTATTATTGTACATATAATCTACGTAGAATATTATTGTATGAGCATAATATTTGTATGTCGTAATATTTGTGAATTAAAAATAGAAATGGCTTACACATTATGTAAACGCATAATATTCAATATTGACAATATCAGAAATACATTTCGGTATATCTTATTTTACGGATTTCTTTTAATAATATGCGAAGTTTATCAAAAAATCGAAGAAAAATACTTTTATTTTATTTTTGTTTATTATTTAGCTCAAATTATAAATTGTATTCTTGATTAATTTATCTGTACATTTGTATACACAGAATTTTTATTAAAAAAAAATAAATCTTATTTATTTAATTTATATATAACATATTCAAATAATATATTGAAATAAAATGAACTTTTCATATATTTATTTCTTTCGAAATAAATTTATGTATGTGAGGAAAAGTGTACGTGTTATATATTTATAGGCTTATGCGCTTTTTAGAAAAATTATATAAATATTATACAAATGTAATATTTATAACAGAGATGAGTATCCAGAAGCCTGAAGATCTTTTGTCAGTAGCTATATCAGTTGAGCTTTCACCATCTCCGAATTCACAAGAATTATTTATAAATCAAGATCAACAGGTATGTTTATTATTACAATTTTATTCTATTATAATCTTATTTTAATAATTTTTAATGTACTCTACATAGACAATATATATTATTGTATTGTGTATGATAGATTTTTTAATTTTAGGAACGATTTTTTTTCTTGACAGAATTTTTTTGTTTAAGTCGCTATTAATTATTTATCATTGATATTTTGTCTTATTGTTAGCTAATTTACATAATATTTAGAAAATAATGTAATTATATAGACATCGTAATACATTAAGTATATTGTTTCACGATTTGTAAAAATCAGAGAAAAGGAAACAATTTATTTTATAAAAAGTTTGTTGTAAGAATTTTATTCGATGTATTTAATTTTTCAATAGGATGAAGAAGCGTCTGATTGTCCTTTATTAACACCAAGTCCACCACCTATTCAAACGGATAAAACTCCACAGTTGACGCCAATATTTAATACTTTAGAAGATGCTTCATTAGAGATATCCACACCAAGACTGGAGAATATTAATACGGAAGATGGACTTAATTTCATGAATATAGTAAATAGTTCGAGTAAACCGTTAAATGATGGTATGTTTCTCTTAATTATTTTAATGTATGTGCACATTCAGCATATTTAAATTATATAACTAATTTATAATTTTTAATAATGTTATTTATGTATTTATCACTATTTATATGATTATTTATTATCACATTTATATTTAAAAAATTTTACGTATATAATTTTACATTACTATTATATATATATAATTGTACAAAAATGATAAAAGAGAAATATATGTAAGTTAATTCAAAGATTTATATAATACGTACATATTTTCTTAAAAAATATTTAAAACAACATTTATATATATCACTGAAAATATATTCACGTTTTTACGTCGGCAAAATTTTCTCTTTGTTTATGTTTATTAATAACAAATACATTCTTGAGCTAAAGAGTTTATATAATCGTTGCTATATAACGTTGACGCTTGTTTGTTAAAGTGCTTTGATAGGATTTAATTTCAATTTAAGCGATGATTAATTCTGACTGATGACACTACATGCGGACTGTCATCTTTGTGCACTCAGTCTTACAGTTACTTAATTTGAAAGAATATTTTACTTCATCCAAATTTATATGTATAAACTATTTTGCATTTTTCTTTTGTTATTTAATTCAAGTAAATTAAAATTTAATTTTACAAAAAAATGAAAGAAAATATAAATAAATTCTTATATAAAAAAAATGAGGATAGAAAAAAAATTGTGAGATAATTATCTCGACAATTTTTTATATAAATAAAGAATTAGATGGAATTTTTAATGCAGTTCTGCGGAATAAAATAAAACATTATGAATAAGGAACAACGAACCAACAAAAATGTACAAACTTACAAACAATGAAAAGTAAATTATAATAAATTATATATTTTCATTATAATAAATTATATATTTACATAAAATTAAAAGCTTAAAAAATATAATGAATGTGTGTGTTGTGTGTGTGTGTATGTAGTACTAATATAATTTTTATACTTTTAAATGGTATATACATTTAATTTAAAATATATATCATTTACAAATTCTGCTGTTCTAGCTTTCATTGATGCATTTAATTTAATGTTGTTAAATTTTTATCACTTATAGTATATCTAATAAATAATTTCTTTTAAAATTTTTGAACTTCGATCTATTTTATATAGAATTACTTTTGCGAATTAATTATTCTTATTGGCATAAGTATCATATCGAATATTTCAGAACCAAGTTCACGCGATCCCATGGTGGAATCCACAAGCAGTGGTAGCAGTAGTGATACTAACGAACCTGTTTGCACACAATTGTTGACACAATTGAATACTGCCTACCAGCATCTTGCACCGGATGCTCAAGCTTTGGTAAGCATTAAAAAAATAATTTTATATTTTTTATAAAGTCTTCAATTCATAGATATAATAGAAATTAGTGTGAAGAAAAGATTCATTAGAAAAGAAATTGAATAAAATGACAAATGTTGATTTTATGTAAGGAATACTTAGGATGACTATACAATATACCTGCTATTTAAAAACTAGGTAATTCTATTTCTTTATTTTTAATAAACAAATTAAAACAATATATATTACTAATATGTTTCAATTTCCAGAAATAAATTAAAAATAAAAAAAAAATTAAAATTAAATAGAAAAATTATACTTTGCGTTTTTTGATATATTTTTTTGTATAAAATTATCCACTTGTCGGTTGTAGCAACGCATTACCTTATCCTATTTATATGTATTTCGTATGTGCCTGTTGTGCTTAACATATTGAATGTTTATTATTGCAAGATTCACGAATTTCGTTTCTGTTTCACAAAAGGAAAGAAAATCAATGTTCTTTCACGCATTACATCTGTTACATTCGCCTGGCATGGATAAGGAATACTTTGTCAAATACATCACTCGTGAACGATCATGTCGCGTCGTGATTGCATTTATAATACAAAGCTACAATCACGTACACACACACACACACACACAATATGTTTCTTTATGTACAGTTAAATCGTTATCTTGAGCATCGATTTGTCACTTTAGTTGCTTATATGCATACAATCTCAATATAAAATGACTAGGGTGACCATATATGGAACTAGGCTAATAATTAGAGAGGATCGTATGGGCGTCATAGGTAAAACTAAAGCATTATGTTTTTAATAATATTTGTTAATATTATTTTTTAAATATAAATATAATAAGATCAGGAGCAACATAGTTATTATTTCGAGTGTTTATAGTCTGGAATAATTTACATTTAATTAAAATTTATATTTTTAATAAATAGGTGGCATGTATAAAATAGGACCTACATTTAATTTCTTAATCGCAGATTGTAAATATAAAAAAATCAGGATAAAAATCTAAAGAAATCTGTAAAAACTCTGAAGATTTTTCATAAAGAATATAAAAATTGGGATTTCTGGTCACCCTAGAATTGACACTTTGTCATACGCTTAGAAAAGATGCAGATATGTTTGCAGATGCCACCCTATTTCTTTTTGCCTTTCTCCCACAATTTTGATTTATATGCCCTGCTATCTCGCATTGTGATTGGAATGAATTTGATAAGAGGGCAAGAGGATTTTCTGATCTTTCCAACGGTTTCACTGATGTGTACTAATTCATCGCTTGCTGCTTGCTAACATCGCCGTATGTACTCATGCTGTAACTGTTTAGTTTTACAACCAGGAGAACGGTGGTAAGCCATCGCTCGTTGGGATTCAATTAATGGTACCGAAGCCGCCTAAAGACTATCGCTTTATGAAGTGGAATTGGTCATTGATACGAAAGACATGCTACTGGACGTTAATGTCAGTATTGATCGGATGCACTGCTCTCGTTATTGGCATTATTGCTACGATGCCTAAGAAGTATGTGTCAATATATTATGTACATTATCCACGAATAATCGGGAAAACAATAAAGATTATCGCAATAAAATATTCTTTTTAACAATTGTGAATTTTTTTATAATTTTCAAATTCATCATTTTAAATGTCTCATTTGTATGATATAAAAATTCTTGTTGTTTTTTTGCTCACTTATACATATATTTAAGCAATTTTGCTCCACATATAAAACATTTGTGATTATATATTTAATACCCAGATAGCATTTGATGGCAAATGATGCATTTTGACATCAAAATGATGTTATAATAATTACTGTGGCTATCTGGGTAGGTAGATAAAGAATAAATATATGACTCAATATTGTTTTTCCAATGAATAATTTGGTGAAATAAAAAATGGTATGATAAAATCGTTGGTACAATAAAAATATAACATGATAAAAATATCTGTACTAGATGTGATCCTCCGATGGAATGGTGGCAAGGCAGCACTTTTTACGAGATATTTCCTGCGTCCTTTCAAGATTCGATAAAAGGAGATGGAGTCGGCGATCTGCGTGGAATAGTTATGCGGCTAGATTATTTAAAAGAACTTGGGGTGCGAGCTATTCGATTGAATTCGATATTTCCGGCATCGCATTATCCAGAACATTACTCGGATATCAGTAATATGATGAGCGTGAATAAACACCTGGGTACGATAGAAGATTTTTCTGTTCTCGTGCGCGAAATACAAAAGAGGAACATGAGTATAGTCTTGGATTTGCCTTTATATCCGTTCATAAAGAATTTGAGTAATCAAGCGACGTTTAGCTCGAAAGTGAATGAAACTGAACAGCTTCGAAATAGGCGAGATATCGCGAATGATGAAATTCGCGAGCCATCCGCACCGTCTACATCAGTCGAAATCATTCGTGATGTCTTATTATCCGTACCACCACCGTTGAAGAAGGCGAGAAGAGATGTAGACTCGTCGAATAATCAACCTACAAATCCTCAACAAAAACATCCCATCAGCGAGGCTATCGAATTTTGGCAGTCCAAAGGAGTGAATGGCTTCTATCTACAGGGATTGGAACATTACGTTGATAAAGACACATTCGTAAGCAGTCTTAGATACTGGAAATCTCTTCTATATTCGAACAACATTTTTATTTGTCATATAAAAGCCTTGGAAGCCGCTACCTCCACCGCTGCAAGGAACTCCATCCTAACCAGGATAAATTTACTTGATGTGACTCTTCGTTTGACGAATAGTACGAAGGATATGAAGGCACAAATAGAGCAAGTCACGAAGGGTACACTCTTCGATAAGCCTGCTTACCCGTGGATCCATTGGTCTATAGGCGGCGTGGACACTAATAGAGTAGCCTCTACTATAACCATGAAGAACGCTACCATGGCGGCTTCTCTTCTTAATATGATGCTACCTGGAACACCCAGTATATTCTACGGAGATGAGGTATTTATATTTATTTCTAGCGGCATTGCCATGCAATTATAAGAATTCCATTTTGTGTATTATCTAGTAAACATCAATATATAATCCATATTCGTAATATAATGAAAATAATATTATTTTAGTATTTTACTAATAATTATTACATACGTATTATTTCGCGGTTATGTATATACAATTATTAGCAATTTGACATTTCAGTAAATGCAATTTTTGGAAGATTTAATAGGAAGAAATTATTAGAGAAAAAAATAATTATCTTATGTTCTTTATTCATTCAGATAGGTATCGAAGATTGCGAGTGTCAGGATCACAAAGATTTGGCGCACGTGCACAATCTAGTTCCTATGTATTGGAATAAGGACAGTTCCGGTAGTAGTAGTTTTTCATCCTTAGGAATTAATCCCTGGTTGCCGGAAGCTGAGAAACCCATAGAAACTAGTTTGACAGGCACTATTAAAGAAATGGCAAGACTTAGAACAGAAACAACATCGATTTACGTTAAAGCTGTGTTAAGAGAAGGTCAAATTAAAGTGAACTGTGATGTTAGGTAAAATGTTTTACCTGAATTTTTGGGCTTTACATTTTTTTTAAGTTAACGCATAATCTCATGACTAGAGTATACAATAATGATTTAATGTATTTGAAAAATCTATTATATGCTTGCATGTGATTATATATATAATACTTTTGTTATTTTTATTTTGAATTGTACAAATTTCATATCTTTTTCAAATTTTCTGATTTATTTTGTATTAATATGTATATTGTATATGTATATTGTTAGCAGAAATATGTATAGTTTTATGTTGTTTTGTTTAGATATATTGAAGATGAAATGATCGTCATTGAGCGATGGTATCCACGAAGAAATTCTTATGTATTTGTTGCAAATTTTGGCAACAAGACGCGCATGAAGGATTTATCATTCCTTTATTACGGTGGTCATGTTGTTGTAGGACCAACTTACAGAATGAATCGAGATGTGTACTTCAAAGAACTTATCGTCCCACCCGGAGAAGCATTTGTTATAAAATTGGATAAATGAGAAAATATGTTTTGATTAAGAAATATATTGCTTAATGATATGTTATATTAAATTTTTATTTTTATTTTTATTGTGTAAAATAATTACCAGTGTTGTTTCAATTAAAAAAGTATAGATATACCTGCTGTTACAACGGAATATATTTCTATAAAATTTTTATAAATTCTTTTCTATACAATTTTAGAATAAAATAACTTGTATTATAAATAATTAAAAAGATTAAAGTATGGATCATAATTCACAAAAATAAGAATATTTTTTGTTTTTTTGTGCAAATTTGTATGCAAACGGATTTTGCTTTTTTTAAACTACTATGACACTTGTATGATTTTTATTTGTATGATTTTTATTGCCCTTTTATGTTGATTTTGACTCTTGCAGATTATTCCGTCATTCAATAATCACGTAAGGGATCGATTTCAAACATTGATCATCTATATAAAGTAGATCTCGCTTTGCGCAAAAACTTATAGTTAAATCCAGGTAAAAAAAACGTATTAAAATAAAAGTAGAGAAATATATTTTTATACTTTATATTATAATTTTTCAAAGAAGAGTAAAGACTGTTTAAGATCAAAAATATTGATAAGTTTACAAGGGTCAAAATCGATGTTAAAAGTGAAGTTTGAAATAAAGATTATCTAATAATCATATAAATGTTGTATTCGTTAAAATGAATAATAACCAAAATTTAATTTTTCAATTTTTTAATTATACAAAGATGTAATACTAAAATTAAAAAATTAAAAAGCAATTAAAAAAGATAACCATTAAATTACTATGACTATAATATAAATAATATATGTGTCTATATAAATTGGATTATGATCAATAATTATATCATAACATTAAGCTTCTCTTAATAAATAAATTTTTATGCATATTATCTATATTATGTGAATAAAAACGATTTGATGTGATTGTGTCTATATATACATTGAAATTCTATAGATATAACCCAATAACAACCCAGGCACCAAGGTGTTGTTTATTTGACGTCAATAGTAAGTCATTTAAAATTTTTAACTAATAAAAAAATAACATAATGACATTTTGATCATTTCATGACATTTATTATTTATTTCCAGTAAACACAGTTTGTAATAATATAACGTAATACTAAAACTTTTTAATAAACAATAAATAGCGGCAAAACGTTTTGAAAATTATTCTCAAAATCGTGTTCTTAATAATATATGTCAAAGTCAAAGTTATTAATCGGAAATTTTTTAATAAATATTTACTTGTGCATATGTACAATACATTGTTGGACAGGACGGATTGAAACACGCGTTAATTGCTCAAAAACTCTTGATTCTGAATAACTATAATTAAATTTCGATATTATGTGAATTGTAAGAATTTATATTTCAATAATTATACTGAAGAAGACCGCGTGCGGTCGAAACGTTTATAGAATGATTGTAATTTGCGTCAGTTTTAATATAATGACTGTAGTTTTATAATTTATACATGTAATAAATGGTAGTTGACTGAACATCTCGAATATTCAGCTCGATAAGTTGGCCTTATATTTATCACTTTGTTTTCAATATACGAGCGACAATTGTATTAATTTATTTTAAATATTTACTTGTTTTATTTTTTACATATAAAATTTTATTTTTATATATTTTATTATTTATTACGCCAACATTTTTCTTTTTATATTATAGGTTTTCTAAAAAGCAATATAAAATTGAGAACATGATGGGTACAAAAGAAAATAAGTCTAACAGAATATAAAATATAAGAGAAAATCATAAAAAATAATTTTATTATTTTATTAATATAAAATGTATATTATATTTGATTGTATTGAAATGTATGCTGTATTTGTTGTACCGATAATTTTATCAGTCATTGAATATGTGTGACGAAATATTATTTTGGTAAATTTGACACATAATTGAAAATTGATATTATCTAGACAGCGACGTATCCTTTTCATAGAAACTCTGTAAAGAATCAAAATTTGTTAAGAGAGCAAAATTTATAAAAAAATACGAAATTTATAAAAAAATTAAACTTGAGATTTTTTCTGATAAATATAATAAATAATTATTATTTCAGAATGAAATAAGTGAAGTATTTAACTGTGGATATTGTGTATTTTATGATAATTATACTTTTGTTATTTTAAATTAACTATTTGCTTACTTTTGTAGCTATGTCGATAAGATTTTCAGCCATCGCCGAACCAGTCTGCTGTATCATATTATAAAAATATCCTTTTTGTTGTAAAAGAATATATGGATGGTCACATTCCTGCAATCGAAAAATCGCATTTTTTAATCATATTCTTTATTTAAATATATGTGCGTACATACAGATTGAGTATTCTGCAATGGAATCAGCGCATCATTTATTGATAACAAATTCTTGAAAACATTAAGAAACCATTTTTCCATAACAAAATATTGAGGACGATCATCATTTTTTATAAGTTCAAATTTTGTCATCAGATGTAATAAAGAATTAAAATAAAATTTTAAGAAAGCAAACTGCATACGCCCAACTAAATCATCTAAAATTAACAGAAAAATGTAGTTTCTTTTTAAAATTCGAATCTAATAGTTAACTTTTTAACTCTACAAAATTTAGTTTACGAAAAATTCTTTTTTTTTCAATCACTTTTATAACTTGAAAATTATAGATGTCTAAATGTTTCGCCGAAGAAAAATGTTTGCAAAAAATCCTAATAAGAATGTGTCATTAGCCGGTGCGTCAACTCTGATAGTATTTTAAGTTTTATCTATCATTTCCTCAAAAAATACAGAGTCTTTTAGACTAGAGAACGGAAAATGGTAAAATTAAATTAAAATTGTATTGCTAAAATTATTGAAATTATGTTTTAATTCTTCAACTTATACTTACCACAAGACGTCCAGCATCCATGACAAATATTCTATCGCTATCCATAATAGTATTCAATCTGTGAGCTATAGTCAATACAGTGCAGTTTATAAATTTTGTTTTAACTGTCTGTTGTATAAGGGAGTCCGTGTAAGGATCAATGTTAGCAGTCGCTTCATCCAGTATCATAATTTTATTATCCTTGATAATAGCGCGCGCGAGGCAAAATAATTGTCTTTGGCCTACGCTGAAATTTGATCCTCCTTCGGATATTTTCGTATTCAATCCGCCTGCCATCTCTGAGATTATCTCTTTTAATTCAACATCTTGAAGAGCTTGCCACAAAATAGCGTCGGAATACTGATCAAAGGGATCGAGATTTCGACGTAAACTGCTACTAAATAAGAATGGTTCCTGAGGAATAATACTGATTTTTGATCGGAAATTATGCAAGGCAATCGTGCTAGTGGATATATCATCTATATGAATCTCTCCTTCTACACAGGCCAGACGAAAGAGAGCGTTAATCAGAGATGATTTTCCTGCGCCGGTTCTGCCGACGATACCGATCTTTTCTTTCGGTAGGACAGTGAAACTAATATCTCTAAGCATGTAGTCACCTTGATGATTGTATTTTAAATTTACATTTTTAAATTCTACATTGCCTTTTGTTGGCCAATTGTCGGGCAGTTTGGTATCTGTCGGTTTACTATCGATCATCGGCTCTTCTTCCAATTGGCTATACTCAAGAATTCTCTCTATTGAGGTCAATTGGCTTTCTAGTTCAGCCGATTGTCTAATTCCCCACTGTAACATGTATGTCAACGACATGATCTGTGTGATCGTCAAACCGATGTTTCCAACTACTGCTAAATCTTCGAAGACCGTGAAAACTATAATTATTATTCCAATATAAATCTGACAGATCATATCGATATAGAAGCCAAAAGTTCGAGATGTGGCTAGGAAGAGATAACAGGTAGACGAATGGAGATCTTGATGACTGCATAAGTCTGCCATCAATATATTTTCTGCATTGAAAGCTCTGATTGTTGTTAATCCTTGCAGAGATGCAGTGATATGATCGAAGATCGGCGAACGCGCTAAATAATTATTTTTTATTTTATTAAATTATTCTGATTTATAATAATTTATTATATATGGACAATATTCATAGTCAACTTTATTTAAAGAATATGTATAAATATGTATGCGTCTGTTTAAATTTTGCGCTGTAGCCTGTTTTGTAAATAATCAAGAGATACAACAGTGCCTCGCGCCAAATCATTACTCAAATTATACTTTTTTAATTAAATATAAAATCTAATTTAATAAAAAATTAAATTATTATTCTTATATATAGCGTCTGTATAATCCTTCCTTCATTTATTTAAATATATTTTAATTTATATATTTTTTAAAATAAATATTTATAATCTATTCAATAACAAGATCAATTGTTTAATTAAGGCTCCATAATTATATAAATTTATAATTACTTGTCGATTATAAATATTGTCTATATTTTATAAGTATTGCATATAGTTGACTTACTTGTCCCATCGAGGCGTTTAATACTACGACATGTACGGATGTATATCATACGTAAAAAGATAAAGCCACAGATACAAAGAAGAGAGGGTATTGCCAGCCACGGAGTAATCGCTACGATCATGATTATTATTATGATTGCGTTAAGTCCGATTACTATGGCGTCGAATATGCATATCGATACCATTAAATCGACAATATTAATATCTCTAGCAAACCTAATTAAAATAACAACAATGTTTTACTTTTTCAAATTAAATTAGATAATTATTATCAATTTGTTACACAATATGTCAAGTGTCAAAAATTAATAAAAAATATTTTCTGTAATTAAAAAAGAGAGCTTTATCAACCGTTATTTTTATCTGTATTTACCTATTTAATATACGGCCAGTCGGATTTATATTGTAGAAGTACATAGTAGCGCGCAAAATGCTGCGAAACATGGCGGAGTGTAGATTTACTGATGACCACATGCATACGGTAAAGTATGTGATTGTTTGGAATAGCCATAGTAATATAATCATCACTATCATAATAATGTATATGTACATCATATAATCACGAGATAATGGACCACTCCATAAAAACTCCGTGGAATTGTTAATTTTATACCATGAATTCGATTCCACGTTCACCC